AAACCTATTCCTTCAACGGAGATTAACTTGAAGTACAGGTGGAGGATGCGCCACGAGCTTTTTTTGTCCACCACTCTCATGCTCAGGACCCCCGCGACGAATTTGGTCTAGGTGAAAACGACCAACAAAGCTGGATTTGCAAGGCACTTACTGTCAAATTAACGGACTGCATCCAACTCGTGGCTGGTGGGCAAGACGGATCGTTTTCCGGGTCTTTGGGGTTGTCGTCATCGGCAGTCGCTAACGCGTCCGCTGTTGGAGCACTGGACTGGCAGTAATAGGCCAACTGGGAATGCATTCCGTCTGTTGCGGCGTCCAGCTTTTTGGCAGCCCACCGTCTGGCCCATCGACCCATGGGTTCAACAAACCGAAGTAACGAGTAGGCGTACTCGATAGCTGTCAAGTCACACCCATATACGTCCGAGAAGCGACCCATTTCGGCGGAACTAGCAGAGAAAGCAACAAGGGGAAAAGGCGAGATCAAAATAGGAGCTTCAACTGCACAGTAGGAGAGATCGGGTATGGTGCAATGTGGGGAAAAACGAGCAGAGTGACTCCAAGCAGTGACTTCGGGAGAAACTAATGAAATAGGAATATGGGAAACAAATTCAACATGACTCAACATCGCCTAGGTCGGGCTCGGTACTAGCTCATCTGAAACCGACAGTATGCCTACAAGTGACCAATTCAATCAAAGTCTGAGTCATGAGGATACCTACATAAAATTCGGATGAGTATTCACATTTTTCATAATCTCGTTCAGTTCAATTGTAGCACCCTTTCGGTGCCTGGCTGGCATGCCACACGAAGGAGGCACGACGGCTGGGATACTGCCAGGTCGCCCGAGCCTAAACAAGGGAAGTCGAGAGGCAGAAGTTGGGTTCGAACCATGGATCATCCAGTCAGTAAATTTGCGCTCTAACCAATTTGGGTCATCTCGCCCATCTCCCGCCGTCTCCCATAGATTTATTGCCGAATCACAAATTGCCTACCTCAAAGACTGCGAGATTCCGAAACAGGCAAGTGTGTCCGGGTAGGCAACAATACAATCTACGCAAAATGGGACCAGGCAACTTCTGGGTGTTCTCCACAACTGAAGCACATGCAAGGCCATCAAACACCTGTTCCTAGGGCCAGCCTACATCGGCTACACTGGTGGTCAAAGACCTGAAGAGGTTTCTAACTCTTCATAGAAAATTCGAGATAGTTCAGTGGTTACTGAGATGAAGTTCCGTGGTTCGAACCCAACCTGGCAGTAACTGAGCTCTCGTGCTTCCTTCGGGTGGCGTAGAAGCTAGGCACCGAAAGAGCATTACAGCTGGACGACTATTTTTATTATTCCAGAAGGTTCCACACCTCGCCATTGTACAATAGTACGTACGGTGGTCTGTACTGTAGTGACAATTGAGAACCAGCGACTGGTGTGCTCGTTCGATGCCACAAGCCGGGTGAACTAACAAACGTGCCTCACACACCTACGAGATGCCTACATTGACTTCATCAGACACATTTCTCAGGATGCTTGCTGTATTTTGAAGGGTGCGCACATCTGGAAGCAGGATATGGTAATTCGCAGATGCGAAGCGCCGTGTATCTTCTCATCTTTGATGACAATAACGTAATTGTGTCGGCATCACCATAAGAATTCGCCCAAGCGATGAGTTGAACATCGAGGTTTCAAACATCCTTCGCGGTCAACCGCATTATTCAAACAAAAATGGAGAATGGTTGGCCTTTTTGGATGACCAGAAAGCATTTGAGAGAATCGGATTCAGGTCAGGGGGTTTGGGGACATTAAGCAAGTGTGCGTAGTAGAAAAAACACGCACGACGCACAGAAATAGACACGGGTCTGAATGCAGTGATTTGAAATCATTCACACACACTTACTTGACATTGCTCCTGGTGTGAATTTGTGGGCAAGAAAAGGAGTGTTGCCTATGGCTGGCGGAGTGATGTGACGCCATGCGAAACCCAAGGATCAGTGACTTTGCCTTGTTATGATACTTCTGTGGCTCGGATATTCACTTGAAATACTTTTTTTTCGACAGCAACGATATTGCTGTCCCTAAGGGTGACTACGCACAGGCTCTGCCTAATTCGAAGGTCACAATTTGTTGAACCACACTTACGAGAAGATTGCCAAAGGCCCGTGAATCGCCGCACTGAGAGGTTCGTCAGGACCATATTTGAGCTTGTCCAATTGTTTGAGAACATCTTGTTCTTCAACTACACATATATAGAAAGAGAGAGCGAGAGTGGAATAACGATATCAGTTTTCCACGCACAGCACTAAGAAGGATAGCCCAACAAAAATCAAACTCACCACTGAGTGGTTCGACGAGGGGATTCGCGGCAACTTTGTTGCGAATATCGTCCAATGTCTTCGTCGGTCCGCTATTCGTTTTCGAATCCCGAGTATCACTCAGTTCACCGGTCATCGAGCGTACAAAGGCTGACGGATAATTGACTTTGAAGACAGAAGGATGGTCAATGACTTCCAACTGTTTTGATTCTCCCAAAGCTGTGTCACGTGACTGGGCCTTCGGACAATCGGTAGCCGTGATTTCACCTGGTTTATCATGCTGGAAAAGAAATGAGAGAGAAACACGAAGGTATGGTTAATGACACGCTGAGTAATGAGAAGTGAGGTTAAATGGGACAAGAATGAATGCATTGAGACAGGTTCGTGTTACCGTGATGGAAGTAGTATAGACGCAGCGAGAAAAGTAGCTAGCACTGGTAAAGTGATCCAACACCTCCCTCCATCCGACTGGTACTTCAGAAGTGACAGATGGTATTTTCTCAGCTGCTTGTAGATCGAATTTGTTCTCCTGACGGAAGAAAAACTTCGGTGACCAGAATACCTGAAAGTCATCGTTTTTTTATGTGGAATGGGCAAACAGCGTCTGGGGCAGTTTTTCCTTATTCTGGCTAGGATCCCAAAGCCCACTTTTCCTTTTGCCCTGAAAAACTGAGAAGTCCATTTGTAATACCGAGTGACTCAACCCACAAAACAAAAAGTATCTGATCGTCGCTGATATGAGTAAATACTATCAAGATAGTAAGTAGTAGGCGATAGACACCCGGGGTTGTTGTCTTGAGTTAGCACCCCTATGAGCACTGGAAGAACAAAACCTGTCCCAGGCATGTAGGTCCACGGAAACGCGGCGACAGCAGTGCCAACACCATCCTCTAACCTATTTTTCGGAGTGGAATTCTAGTCTGCCGAAGGCCTAATGCCTCGTCGCAGAAGAGAGCTGTCGAAGTTCTTGGTCGTTGCGTAGCAGCGTGAGCTATCCCCAACTAATTAAACACACTTTTGATGCCACACACAAACTCGTACCACAGGTGCATCAGTGACGTCTCGTGACGCTTTCAATGTCGTCCCCGAATCGAAATATGGAGGACACAGTTATAGGCAAACTGAAGGTGATGGATATCCTCATACTCTTAGCACTGTGTGACACCGAGAACGCGTCCGCCGCGGGGAAGTTTACAGACTGAAACAGTCAGGGTGCTTAAATCTGAACGCAGCTTCGCCTTCCCAAATAAGCGTCAGCGAAAAATGATGGTTGAGAAAAAGATAACGACTACTTTGAGACTCCATCAGATGGTGATGTAATCAACTCTCGACTGATCAACTGTTAGCAAGAGCGACTATACTCATAACTGATGACCCAGCTGTTCCAGCGTGGGAAAAACTCACATTCAGGTAGACGATACGAGGACCAAACCGAGTAGCTGATTCATGATGTTGATCCCTGGACGGTCCACAGGGAGTGGCGTACCTGCTGCGTAAGCGGTCAGCTGCTAGAGCAGCCGCTTGTCTAGCTTGAAGAAGAATCTCATCTTCTGGCTCCTCTGTTTGTACGATCGATGATTTACGAGTCTTCACAGGTGTCGGTTCTGAAGGATTAACTGATGCGGGGCTTGAAGCTTTAGAATCAGTGATTGAATCAGTGTCATCCTCAGTATCTTTGGCGCCTCGCTTGCGCCGAGGAGATCGGGGTCTCTCCATGCTGATATTATCCGATTTCAAGGGATATGGTCTAGAAAGCTCATTTCGCTTCTTCGTGGTTTCCAACTTTAGCGAGTACGTCAGTTCCACGGACCTCTTACGTTTTCTTCCAACTGAAGAACTCCCAAGCTCTGATGAACTCCGGATCCTTGATAAAATTGGTGAGGCCTGTGCGGGAATAACGGGCGACATGCTTGAAGATGCAGGTGTCGATTCACACTGTGAGGTGAGTGGTTGTCCTGGTGGGAACGGTGTCGCGGAGATGGAGGTAGTTTCAAACGTAATAGGTGTGCTGCTTGGCGTTAGATTAGTGCTCTCAGTTATGGAATCATCAAGGCCAACTTGAGATGAGTCTGTGTGTGTTGAGTTGGGTGAGAAAGAAGCACGGCGAGTAACCCGGCTGAAAGATTGATCGGGTGAAGAAATGTTTGGTGAGACTGTGGAACTGCACGGAGGTATTTGTGGCTGAACATCTGCCGAGGTTGTGGGTACAACCCTGGGTGTTTTCCGTGGACGCCCACGAGGTCTTCGAGGTGAAGGACCTGGCGTTTCCGTGCTCGGGGTTACGTGCACTGGTGGGGTTTTTGAAGGACTGAATGAATCTAGAAAACAGACGAATCGAGATGGTAGAATTTTTAACACAAAATCAGGAGGAAAAACTGGCGTCAGATGCAGACTGGAAACAATGAAAACACAGCCCGAAGTGACGTAAGTACCAGCGCTTGCTGCACTGTGTAGTAAGAGAGACTCCACAGTGAGTGTAACTCAGCGGTAGCCCAAAGGTGAATGATAAAAGGTCTGAACTTCAGCCGCAAAGTGCGTCAAGGTGTCAGCTCTGGAACCTACACGGAAATTCCAATTGATATTCGATATCTCTTCATGACCCACAAACTATGGAAAGATTCCAAGGTCACGTGGTTCTCTCATATATCTGTCTAAAACATCGTTCAGCAGTAACCACTTTTCTCTGTCTAGATGCCATGCCACCCGAAGGTTGCACGAGGGCTGGGATACTGCCAAGTTGCCCAAGCCTAGACAGGGGAAGTCGAGAGGCAGAGGTCGGATTCAAACAACAGACCTTCCGGTCAGTACATTAGCGCCCTAATCACTGAGCCTTCTCGCCTCGTCTGCCTGCGATTTAGGTTAATTACTAATGAAACACTCAGTAACTAACCGGAAGGTAGCGGATTCGGATTAACTGACAGTATCATGATATATGAACTACTGAACATTTCCAACAAGGTTAAAACAGATTCTGAACTTTTCAGCAGACTGATGAAATAAAAACTGGGACATCAAAACCCTCTTACTACTCACAAACTACAGGTAGTTTGATCAGGAAATAAAAAATCCCACAAGTCATAAAAGCTTCAGATCAGAGGACTCGCTCAATGGGTCAGTTAACAGGGGACCATGTGACTTGAACTGTGTGAGTGAAAGATGGGTGACACTAAACTCTGTCCAAACGTCAGTTAATCACGGTTGGGTCAGTTACAGTCACAGTTGGGTTGGTCAAACGTTATAGCGTTCAACGAAAACCTGTGGGTTGCAGGTTCGGATATTGCTTGGGACTGGTGAGGTGCAAACACTGATGACAATGCTTACAAAGGAACGAAAAGCTTCTAAGCTTCTCGGAATGAAGCTTCAGTCAGCACAGAATGTGCCTTGTTAACACCTGGTTGAAAGTTATTTTGAAATCCGACGAAACGCAGTTATTTTGAAATCCAACGAAACGCATGCGTGGACGGGTGTGGGCTGTCTTGAATGGGAAGCCGTCCGGGTAACCCACAGTGAGTGCTGGGCAGTTGGGCGAGTAGATACCAAACTGCCGAATTTGCTTCCACATCAATCTCGTGTGAACAACCCCACTTTCGTCCAGGTACAATTGCTCTGCTCAGTTCACACTACGAGGGGGGAAGCATTGGAATCGAACTTCGCTCTTATTGGAGCACATCAGCGGTGCATATACTGGACTGTACGAGGATTCGAACTCCGGACTCCGATAAGCGTGGCGATTGCGCTACAACGCATCGGAATCATGGCATTTGAACAGGTGAAAGCGAGTGACGTGGGTGCAAATTTAGCGGACCCAGCAAGTATTCACGATCAAATAGCCCGACAGACTTCGAGCATCCGTGGCCGCTAGTTTCTGATAGGCAGGTTGAATGACAGACACAGTGACGATAGTAACTGGATCCGAAGCCGACCAATTGAGCAAAACAATCAAAGTGCGAATATGTTCGGCTGTTCAGACATATCACGTCAGGTGCACCTTATTGCACTGGTGCTGTTCTAGCATGTTCACTTCGTTCAGCTGTAGCACCCTTTCGGCGCCTAACTGCCATGCCACCCGAAGGTTGCACGAGGGTCGGAATACCGCCAAGTTGCACAAGCCTAGACAGGGGACGTCGAGAGGTAGAGGTCGGTTTCGAACCACCACGGACCTTCCAATCAGTAAATTCGCGCTCTGACCAGTTGAGCCATTTCGGATCACACAAAGGGTTTCTCAAACGCCAACAAAAATAGTAATAATGATGACAAGAATAGTTCAGCTATAACACCCTTCCGGCGCCTAGCTGCCATGCCACGCAAACCTAGACAGTAGCAGTCGAGATACCCGGGCAGGGATCGAACCACGGACGCCCCGGTCAGTAAGTTCGCGCCCCGAGCAAAGTTAACCCACTAATGAGGATGAAAAGCAGACAGACTTACCGTCCAAAGTAGATCCATCAGACGATAGCAGACTAGTATTGCTTGAACAATGGTCAGTCTAGACAGGAACACAAAAGTGTGAAAGATTAAAAGAGAGGACGGTACGTTACAAGAACACTGGCTTGTAGCCAAACACAGCGGGTGCAATTCAATCAATGAGGGTTATGTATGGGGAGAGAGTAAAGTACTGTCAAATGGACAAACACGCACAGAATGGAACCAGAAACAGCTTTAAGATGTGAACACTAGTTGGGCTTCTCGAGCAAAAGTCCTTCCTGATTTCATCTCATTATGGATTCTTTTAGGATGGTAAAGCAGCAGGGTGAGAGTGGCAAACGTGCAGAAACTGTCCAATACCAGGAAACTAATGTACTGAATTATCGAATACCGCTGCAGTTGGATCACAGGAAGACAACAAGAGATACAAGTCTAGTGAATACAGCAGTCCTCTACGGTAATTCTTTCATGCATACCCTTCAACAGCCCACGGTCGGTTTCGCTCTTCCTGGGACTCATCGGGTGGGGGCAGCCTCAAGAGAATCTCCGGCAAAGGCCACTTAAATTGACCGCAGTCGACCACAATTGTCAGGACAGAGTAACATGCGCATGAAGAAATGAGGCCCGTGGCTNGTCTAGTGCCCCTTCGGATGTGCCGCTCTTCTGGTGCACAGCTGTCGTACAAAATAGTAAAAAATAAACCGTTCAGCTGCAGCACCTCTTCGGTGCCTTGCTGCCACCCGAATGAAGGACGAGGGCTGAGATACTGCCTGGTTACCCAAGCCTAGACAGGGGAAGTTGAGAGGCAGAGGTTGGGTTCGAACCAGGACCTTCCGATCAGTAAATCCACGCTCCTACCACTGAGCGATCTCACCCCATGCAAGCCGAAAGAAGCCGTCGGGGTGAGGTTCTCGTGCACTCAACGCGATGACACTCTGTAACTTATGTGAAGGTTTGGTGAGTTTCGAAGACTCAACCCACTGAGTCCTTGAACAACTACACTAGGAGTGGGGAGTCAATTTCGATAGTGGCCTACTGCATGAACTGTGATTCATTGAGTATACACAAAACAAAACACGAACAGAAAACTGCCAAGTAGGAAAGATGAACTATTAAAACCAGATCCCTGATAAAGGCTTGTAAAAAAAATGCGTAAGAACGCGGTTCCGAGGGGGCAGGAGTGCCGGAAAAAAAATCCACCGCACAGATCCCAAAAATCATTCAATCAAGAAGAGAAATCCGCCCCCCTCCCCCTATTCAAACCGTAGTCAGAAACGGAAACCATCGGTTATAATGTGCTGCCATCGTCTATGCTTGAGCGAGTGCGACAAGCATATCAATAGACTAGTATAAAATTAGTGATGACATATAGATACCGGACAAGAAGGTAAGAAAAGGTCTGGGCGCGCAGACCTCCCACCAGACTCCAAAGATGATGGGAGCGGCTTTACGGGGTTGAGTGGGTAATCCATGGTAGCAAACTTCAACCGGATGAAATTTTCCAATCAGATGTCCCTGCCAGAAGTTCAGTCGGTATTTATTACTTCCGCCCCACCCACCTATGTTTGTTCCTCATCGCTTGTGTATGTCTGTCTAATTTGACCGAGTGTTGTGGAAGGGAAAGCGTTGAATGGACCAGAAGTTGAATCTGGATGGTCATCCGCTCACAAGCCAAGTGACCAAGGCAGTTCCATTTAGAACGCGATCCACTGTTCACCAGTCTTGGTGCTCGACTGTAGCGCAGTTTGCGCCGTGGTGCGAACGCCACCTGGCGGCGGGCCAGGCGACTGGACGATGGTGCAACCCCAGCTAGAGCGGGGAGCGTTCACTGGTGGAATTTGGACCCAGCAAGCTAAATGGCATACATAGTTCTGTTTATAAGGAGCGGACATTTTAAATTTAACCTTTTGGAGAGTACGGCAGTGAAGCATCAGTGTTGAACACTGATGTCATGCTGTCGATGATGATGATGATGATGAACATTTTGGAGTAAAACATCATCACCCATCGAAGTACCAACATCATGGTGTTGTGAGTTGAGGTGCGCGGTTCCTGTCACAACGCACTGGTGATGAAACGTTCGCAACAAAACTACCATGACCAGTAAACAAACGACCGGCCATCATTACAAACGGAGCTGTCAACATTATCTTCGATTTCGTGTTTTGTGCTATTTGCAAACTTCGAGTTACTTTTAATTTGATTCAGATAGCCTACTTTGCTTTGATGTAACACTATTGAGAATGACATATAACTGAAGATCACCGTAATTTTAACGGTGAACAGTTGACCTTGGTATAGAGCAGATTACAAGATTAGGTTTGAGGTATCATGTGATTGACCAGTGACCGATCAACGGCCGAAATTCAGTTGGGTTTGCTGATGAGGGTCGGTGCCAATCTGCTGGCACGCTTTCGTCTGTTCTCGATATGATTACTTCCAGCAGTGGCTGTTTAATCGTTTAACGCTGATGGTGTGACGCTCCCACAGGCCATTTCAGTACTGCTTCTATGAAAAAAAAGACTTCATTCGTTCTGATTACTGCATTACCTCATTTCGTACAGTGACTACCATATTCGCTGTTGCTTGCGGTCACCTACACCACTCTGAATGACTACCTTCATTGATAGTATGTTCCTTTAAGTTTAGTTTATATGACCTGACGGAATAAGACATTTGGTTCCTACGGAACTGTCTGCTTTTTCTCATGACCCTACTGCCATGTCTCTTCAAACCCTATCCACTTTCCACAGCGCACACTTATCTAATGACGACCACTCCTTAGGCGTCAAGTATGCTAGGTTTACTAACAATGGAAACACCGCTCCCGATTTTAGTGAGAATCTTCCGTCAGTTTACTTCCAGATTGTCCAATTGAAAAAATCGTTCAGCTGTAGCACCCTTTCGGTGCCTAACTGCCATGCCACCCGAACGAAGCACGCGGGCTGGGATACTACCAGATCACCCAAGCCTAGACAGGGGAAATCGACAGGTAGATGTTGGGTTCGAACCACCACGGACCTTCCGGTCAGTAAATTCGCGCTCTAACCACTTGGTCCATCTCGCCATCTCTTGGGCGTTTGGAGGTGTAGGCAACTCAGAACGCTTGAGATCGACCAGCATCCAGCTGTACCACCCTTTCGGTACCTAGCTGCCATGCCACCCGAATGAAGCAAGAAGGCTGAAATACTGCCAGGTTAGACAGGAGAATTCGAGATACATAGTCCTAGCGTCATTTGGCCGGTCCAGCAAGGCTTACATGAGGCTCAGTGCCGCTGGCTACGTCCATCCGCCACAGAAGCTGTGAACCTTCCGATCAATAAATTCGCGTTCTAACCACTGAACACAGTACTATAAAAACAAACCGAAGAAAGTCACTCCATTTACAACATGGAAAGAAAATCTGAGTCTTATTGGTGTCCCATTTTCTCAGAATTTCGCTTTAACCTAACCTGTCCGAGGCAGATATACGTGAAACGGTTGTTTTTTACGTATAAGTAAACTAACATTTGCTATAGAGAAGAATGTTGGTGGTTAAGCGAACAAACCAACGATCATGCACACTAGCGTGCTGGAATGGTCGCTAGAAGGATGAATACTAGTGTCCAGGGAATTCTTATGTACCTGGTTCTTTGGATTTTCCTTGTGGACAAACGGGCGAGAATGTGAGGATCCGAGATGATGGCGACGATGACTACCACGACTTCTGGAGCTACCACCTCGTGATATGATGGTCAGACGTGAATGCGTCGACGACGGCTGACTGGAACTCGACTGGACCAGATACCAATCCCTCTTTGGAGATGCAAGTCCGTGTCGAGAACTCCGCAAAGCCCCACCGCCATCTTGTCCACTTAACCGTCGGCAACAAATTGAGTTGAGTTTGCCATGATGTTGGGGGAGTTCTCCGGAAAGACTCGATTCGCCCATTTCAGCCGTGGTGAGCTCGTCTTTGAGTCCAAGTTGCACGCATAGTTTTCGTAACGACGGTGCCATCAACAACTTCCGACAAAAGAGAAGCAACTGGTTTGAACAAAAATAAAAAAGGGTGGGTCAAGCGGGGCAAGTCCGTAGAACTCCGCAAAGCCCCACCGTCATCTTGTCCACTTAACCGTCGGCAACATATTGAGTTGAGTTTGCCATGATGTTGAGGGAGTTCTCCGGAAAGACTGGATTCACCCATTTCAGCCGTGGTGAGCTCGTCTTTGAGTCCAAGTTGCACGCATAGTTTTCGTAACGACGGTGCCATCAACAACTTCCGACAAAAGAGAAGCAACTGGTTTGAACAAAAATAAAAAAGGGTGGGTCAAGCGGGTACTGCAAGACAGGTCCTGCTGAGGATGTAACGAACATCGGCAGCAGCGAGAAACATGATAAGCTAGACAGCGATAAGAGCTAGTGACTGGCTTCATGAGAATCAATTTGCGATAACAACCACCCTGACAAAAAAATCGCTCAGCTGCAACGCCCTCTCCGTGCGTTGCATTGAGAGAGGTCAGAAATTTAGCAGTCAATGTGAGCACAGCCGTTCTCCGAGAAGAAACAATGTAGCTTCATACGTGCGATGGATGAAATAGGTAGAAACCGGAGTCAGGTCTTTGATATCATCATCATCATTCATCAGCTGTAATAACCGCGTACTCGTCGTACAGTGGTTGTAGCTGCCGCAGTTTCGTCCACCGATGATTTGTGGGGGGAGGGGTAGGTAGCTGCACATTGCAAGCGGGAGCTGATAAATTAGTGTATTGCACTGTCACTGGGCTGTCAAGTGGGGGGGGGGGGGGTGAAAAAGGGGCTTTTTTTTGAAGGGAAAAGTTTGGAAACAAGGGCCCCCNTGCTGGTAATGGCTTCCATACTTCTCTGCCAAGTCATTGTTCGACCGCCTCTGGCTCTCTTCCACCCTGCACGTGGTTGTGCGATAAGAGCCCTTCGAGGAAGTCGGTCGACTGGTATACGCAGCATGTGGCCAAGCCAGCGCAACCTATACAGTGTGATCAGTTAATCTATCGAGGGTAAGTTATTTCTCCCGAATATCATTCGACGTACTTCAGAATTGCTGATCCGGTGTTCCCACCAGATTCGGGCAATGCTCCGAAGACATCGATGGTCTTTGATATGAACGACAGTGATGAGGTCAACGTAATCTACAGGTGCGTGTGTTCAATTTCATTCCACACTGGAGGAGAGATGGAGGTCAGGATTGTTGGATGTGATATCCACGACTACCGAGAATCATAATGACAGCAATAGTAACTATTGTAACAGTCGTAAAGCAGTGAAACTCTTTCGATGCATGGCTGTCGTGCGATTCGAAGGAAGCACAACGTTCGGGGGCCAGCCGTCCCTAATAACCGAACAGCACGTCATTTGGACGGATGTGTCACGTGAAGGACACGGGCCAGACGAAGGCATGCCCCGATTGGTCAGAATGCCAACCAATCCGAGTCAAGCACCTTTGACTCGACGCTTCTCGCCCCCTCACGGACATTCTGGCACGACCTTGTGGAACATTCTGTGATTACCTTATAAATACAGTTGTAATGATTTTCCTTTGTTTCCATAAAGGGCTGTGTAGAGCTACCGTGCCTTTTGCTATACCATAGTGGGCGGAGCAGGAAGCCAAGGTACCGTTCAGCAAGACACAACACACAACGAAACCCAGACGAGAGTAACGGAGAATCCAGAGTTTGGTTCGTACCACGAACCTTTCGGTGGGCAGTTTTATGTCCTAACCACTGAGCTCCAGCTAGGGATTAGTCAAGAGGCAGCAGTGAAACAATGCCTTTGATTTGGCGAGCATACGCATCGAACGGAGCTTCTGCCCGTGAGTAGCGCAACGACTTCGGAAAGAAACTCACCTTCCTGGCACGTTCAAAATAGACGGTGTTAGGAGCGTTGTACACCATGGCATTGTCACACATTAGCGTAACATCGGCGAGGTAATCAGTGGCAGAACGGTAGTATGCGCGCGACTGTAACCGCGTGTAGATGGTACCCAGATCCATGGGGTGTGAAATGGTCTGGAGGGGAAATAAGAACGCACACGTGTTCAATAGAAATGAATGCTGCGTGCACGCGTAAATGCCGGAGACTGATGTAGAGAAGGGTTACCAGAAAAAAGATCAAAATGATCAGCATTTCTTGTTGTGTAGTAAGAAAACATACAAACAACTACTCTTTGCGCGGAAGCAACCGAGCAGTATTGTCCCCGCGTAACGACGGCCTTTCGAGAAGTCAGGCGGTTCCTGGAGAGCTCAGCCCCTGCATGAGATGTTCAATGCCATTCCAGTATTGTCCCCGCGTAACGACAGCCTTTCGAGAAGTCAGGCGGTTCCTGGAGAGCTCAGCCCCTGCATGAGATGTTCAATGCCATTCCGATTCACTCGATACGGCTTACCTGAGCACTGCATGAGGTCACCTAGCTGGCGCGTTCGTCGGATAACCTGACTTTTCTCCAGCTACCTTCAGATAGGGAAGAGAGAAAGACCTGAAACCGCCTTCCGGAGTACCGTACGATTGGTCGATGGACCATCCGACGGCATCTGGAACACATAACTCCCACAACACTGCAAGATATCTCAAAAAATTCTGACACGTACAGAGCTCAATGATTAAACGCTGGTGTGCTCGATTGCAGCGACAGCGTAGCAATGGGTCTGGTAGGAAAGCGAACTCCTTTCGCCCGGTCCGCGTGTACGGACCTTGTAAATAAACTGATTACATCTGATTACACAATGGACAAAAACTCCGGAAAAGTGGTCGAACCCATAGACTTTTATCCATCCGTATTTGGTCTTGCAAGATATCTGGGTGAAACAAAGCTCTAGAAAACAAGAAATTTCCCTAAAAAGTGGGATACAGGCCAAAGGCTACGTACACTGGTGTGATAGAGGCATCACGGAACTAAAGCTGAGGTTTGCGAATAGGATGGATAGGCGGGAGAGATGGCGCTGTACGAGATGGATAATAAGGGGACCCTAGATTTGTGCTCGACTGGCTCCAACAGTATACTGGTGAATTTCTGATAATCCAGCGCTTTATCCTCCTTGAACGTTTCCGCTTCTCAAATAAAATTAAGACTTTGAAAGGACATTACTGCACCATCGAAAGCAACATAAATCTGTCAACTATTGAGGGAAGAAGGGCAAACTTTAATTAGGGTGTGCGCTATACTTGAAGGGTGTGAAGTCTTCATAGAACCATTTCAGGTGGATATTAACGCGAATTTCAAGGAGAAACAACTTGTATAATGAGGATGACCGAAAGGGAAAATAGCGTTCAGCTGTAACAGCCCTGTGGTGTCTAGCTACCATGCCACCCGAAGGAAGCATGAGAGCTGGGATACTGCCAAGTCGCCCAAGCCTAGACAGAGGAAGTCGAGAGGCAGAGGTCGGGTTCGAACCACCACAGACCTTCTGGTCAGTAAAGTCGCGCTCTAACCACTTAAGAAAATATGTGCTAAATACTATCATTTGCACATTAGGTTGGTTTTACTGAGAGACTCAGCCGAATCTAATTGAATCCCTTGTTTACAATGGTTCTGTAGATAATTTTGAGTACTTCATGAAGTGTTCGAACCCAGGTTGTCGAAATGCTAGTAGTCAATGCTGCCGAAAAACAAGAGGAGTGATATCGTGGAAATATGGTTCCGATTCCCGAAAAACATCGGCAATAATTTGTAGTGTACTACTCATAAGATTGCTGAAAATCCGTCCACAGCCCACGACCGGTCTCGCCCTTCTTGGGGCTCATCAGGTAGGCGCACTGCCCGAGTTTCCGTCAAACTTATGTTCTACTTGAAACCAAATTGCACGAAATGAGCGAAATGCACTCATTAGCGAATATCGTAGCCACTGAAACATGAGACGGCCTGGTGCAGCACATTCAGTTGCCTGGATACATCACAAACGAGAGATTAAGCTGGGTTCCAGGAGGGTCTCTCGAAAAAAAGCAAATTAGTTTCGTCAATTTCATTCATTTCAATGTGTGCAGTGTGTGCTGAGCCAGTGGATTATGAAACAAAACGGATTTATTGGGAATCAGCTCACCTGAGAATAGCCGGCCGCGATTTCGTCGGTTACCGGGTTTGCGAAAATTCCACGTGGGTCACGGCGGACGAGTTGTCCGTGGACTTCCATGAGGACCGTAAACAGATTTTTACTGGTCACCTCAGAAGAAGTGGCAGGAGCAGTGTCTACGCCTGAAAAATTGTAGAGACAGATGGAAAGAACGAGGGTGTGGTCAGTGTAAGAAGTCTACTACGCTTGACAGACAGGAGCAGTCGGGATGGAGGGGTTGGGTTCGAATTATGGATCTTCGGGTCAGTAAATTCGCGCCTAAACCACTGAGCTACCTCGAGCTCATAACTACGAACCAGTGTCCGAGCTAGTGCGCCATTATCACAAAAGATTATACAGGAGAAAGAAAGTCCGATGACCAGAGAGAAGCGGGTACAGAGCGGGGTATCTAAATCATGAAACAACATGGAATATTAACGAGATGGCTCAATAGGTTAGGGGGCGAATTTACTGACCGAAAGGTCCGTAGTTCGAACCCGACCTTTGCCTCTCGACTTCCCCTGTCTGGGCTAGGGAAACCTCGCGGTGTCTCAGCCCTCGTACTTCCTTCGCGTTGAATGGCAGCTAGGCACCGAAAGGGTGCTAGAGCTGAACAATTATTATTATTATTAACATATCTGAGGATCAGGTTCGGGTAGAACGGAAACAGCGGGACAGCTTCCTGACATCCTTCGGAACCCCAGCTGACCTGAAACCCGTTTGAGAAAAGCAATCCTGCATACAGATGATTGTAAGATAGTTCCTGGGATACTATGTGGGGTTTTCAGTAACAGGTAAACACGATTAGGTCGATTCTTTCGAGGCAGGCGTGAAGATATCCCGTCTCTCAGTCTGACAGCCAACTCAGTTTCGGGATTTTTTATTACAGCCTTCCAAATTTCGGTTACGAACGGAGTACAGTGTCCGCGGTGCAAGAGGGTTGACAGAAGAGTAAAAACGACACAGAAGACTGAGGTTCCAGGTAACTATGGAAGTTACAGAGTGCAAGAAAACCCATCCTACATTAGTAGATTTCAAAATACCAGAAGCCTAGAAAATCAAAATTTGAAAATCCGCCAAACTGCATTTAGTCTAGTGTAGAAAGCAACTTATAACATAAAAGGTGACTTTCGAGTTCCATAACTTTTAGCATTTCCAGCAATAAGTAGAGCAGTTTTGAATTTTAAGCCTGAATTTCAAATTTTAACTGCGTGAGTTGAGTAGAATGACTCATGCGCACGCTCATTGTCCGGAGGCCAGTATCATTTAGTAGCCGAATATCACATCGATTGGACAGCAAGTGTCACTTGCCGGGTACGGACCAAACGAAGGCACGCATTGATTGGCTAGAACGTCGGCCAATCAGGATCGAGCATTGATAGCTCGGCGCTTCTCGAAGGTTCTCGAGCGGCTGATGTCATGCTGTCGATGATGATGGTGATTGATGATGACGATGATGTTGATGATGATGATGACATGACGAAAAGCTCAGGGCCTGCGGTGAGGTTCACTCGGCAACAAAAAATCAAGCGGACATCCATACTCGATCTCGAGGGAACGCTAATCTGACCCAGACCTGCCCCAATTCGTGATAAAAATTCACTAGGAATATAATCCGATACCAATTGCAAGCTCACTTCGATGTACCAGCTGTGTCCACCCCCAAATGAGCCACGTTAGCAATGATCAGTAAACAAAACACTTAAATCAGTAACTATTTGGCGCCACGAGGGCACCGTGATGCCAACAATATCGAGACCTCTGAGATATGGTACGCTATGGGTTCCTACAAACCCATCAGTGCGGCCTGTCGACTGCGCTCTTGTACCCGTCAAAAATTCCATGTAAAAATTAGGTTTCCCGACCGGGAGGAAACTTTACCATTGCAGCAATACTTACTACAGGCCAGTTGTCAATGTCTGCCTTCATCTCGCTTTGACCGAATGAGTCTGTGTAATCGTCAACCTCATTGAAAGCAATACCCCAGCAACAGACAGTGATGCTGTCACACAAAAATGAGGGAACAAAGCCCTAGCAAAGTGTAGGGAGAAGTTTCATGAGGTTTCACTGAGCTTACCTGCGAGCCAGTACTCACCACTTGGGAGCTGACAATTGCTCTACAAACACCAACCCTATATAAGCCAGCACTAATTCTCTTCCCTGTCCGCTTTTATTCTTTTCTTCAAAATGGGGCTTTCAAATAGATCATGGTTGTACGGCAGCGAAGCATCGGTGTTGAACGCTGATGTCATGCTGTCGATGATGATGACGATGGTGATGTTGATGATGATGATGACATGACGAAAAGTTCAGGACCTGCGGTGAGGTTCACTCGGCAACGAAAAATCAAACGGACGTCCACACTCGGCCTCGAAGGAACGCTAATCTGACCCAGACCTGTCCCAATCTGTGAGAAAAATTCACTAGGACTATAATCCGATACCAATTGCAAGCTCGCTTCGATTTAGCAGCTGTGTCCACCCCCAAATGAGCCGCGTTAGCAATGATCAGCAAACAAAACACGTGACACTTAAATCAGTATCTCTTCGGCGCCACGTGGGTACCATGATGCCAACAATATCGAGGAGATCTCTGAGATACGGTACGTTATGGGTTCCTACGAACCCATCAGTGCAGCCTGTCGACGGCGGTTTTGTACCCGTCAAAAATTGCATGTAAAGATTGGGTTTCCAGACCGAGAGGAAACGTTACCATTTCGGCAATATTACGGACCAGTTGTCAATCTCTGCATTCACCTCGTTTTGACTGAATGAGCCTGTGTAATCATCAACATCATTGTGAGCAATTCCCCAGCAACAGACAGTGATGCTGTTATATAATCATGAAGGAACAAAGCGCTAGCAAAGTGTAGGGAGAAGTTTCATAAGGTTTCATCGAGCAGCCGTACTGGTGAATAAATAAGGGTTCGAACCAATGAAGAGCAGGAATGATGGACAAGCATAAGGGTAGTTATCATTGCAGAATTGTCGTTAGACAGATCG